ATATAACTTGGCACAACTAATGCTAACGTAATGAGCCCCTTATCTGACTAATTAAAAGTCGATTTAGCTCGGTCCCACTTTCTAACAGCACCGTTAATCCAACGTTAAGTTACGTTGGACTAGGTAACTAGGCGAATCCTTTTTAAGATTTGATTAATGATCCTGCGACAGTTTTGGACAATTAGCTGTATAGGGTGCGCCGGGTTGTTACAACAATCAATCATACTATGATTATGCTATTTAGTTGTTTAATAAAAAACACATGATAATTAGAAATTTAATAATAATAATTTTGTAGAAAGCAAATAAGCATTTATGTTAAGAGATGTTTTTATTACTATAGAAAGGAATAAGGTAATGAAAGAGTTAAGAATAATTCAGAATCTACGGCATTTTTTCAATGAAACTATGCTAAAAACTTAGAACTAAAGAGATGAGAAGTATTGGTTTGAATATGTTTTCTAATATTGCAATTTTTGTGTTGGATTAAAATTAAGTATAATATTACTTAACCAATATATACTAATATTATAAAGAGGAAAGATTTGTGTTTTTTGATTTTTGTATGTATTGTATTAAATCGCAAACTACTGGGCTGATTTTAAAAATTCTTTCACCATTGAAAACTGCGTTATTACTAAGTATGTCATTTTTAATTTCACGCGGGCGAAGGCGCGAGCTACAGCTAGTATCTTATAAATAACAACCATAAACAACGTCAGACTAAAAAGTTTTTATTTATTTCTCATCTTATTAAGCTCGGATAGTATAATAAACGGGCTATATCTTTCGATTTCACAGCGAATTGTGTTCATGAAATCACATTCATTATTTATTATCTACGGTGGAGCAGCATCCGCCAGCGCGCTGAACCGGAGAGATTGTAGTGAAAAAAGTATGGCAATTAGGACATCCTGGATGATAGAACAAATTGAGCCATGACAAATCTGATCAATAGAATCGATAATGTAAACAGTTGGCTAGATAAAACTAATATTATAAACTAGATTTCGCCAGGGATTCCGTCTGCGTAGAATTAAAAAAAAAACAAACGTGAGTAGCCTATGTGTTCTTTTAGTCTATCCTCTACATCTATACCAAATTTGTTATGGCCACATTTTTTGTTAAGGCCACAAACTCTAACAAACAATTAGGCATAGACATAGATGAAAGTCTAGAAGAACACATAGGCTACTAGCTTTTGTTTTTTTAAATCCACGCGGACGGAGTCGTGGGCGAAAGCTAGTTTAACTATAAATAAAGTAGCAATTAAATGAAATGTCAATCTTATGATTCTCTCGGTGTCACCAAAATCTACACTAATCAAATCTGTCCTTTTAAACTCTGTGGACGGTTCTAATCATCAGTCCACTTTAAAGGAGGTCTTACTATACGTGCAAACATTTTGACTTTACTAATTCATCGAGCATGGGTCAGTCAAATAAAATTACCTTAATACAGGGAATTTTAGAAGAAAATAAAAGAGATTAAAATGTAATTACGTTGCTAATATAGTTAAAATTCAATCTTGTTATAAATTATTCAGCACTAACAAGGTAGAGAGTAATTTTTAAAGAACATCAACACATTGAGTATCGTTCAGCCATTGGTGTAATGAAGCGATAAAAGTTTATTTCTCTTTTGCACATATTTTAAGTGCCATTCCGTGATCATGTTTTTACGGCACAGTAAAGTCCGCGCTAAGCTATAACTTCATTTAGTGCTCATTCCAACTTACTTTGTATGACGGCGTTCAATTTACGAAGGTAGATTTGACGATATTAATTAGTTACTTTAGCAACGCATAAAATGTGCTAAAATAGTAAAATTAATCCTCGTCTTAACGTCGATTGTTACAGGCATATTAATGTGAATCCATAAAGAAACAACTATAATATTGTTACAAAGTAAATTAAGAAAAAAAACGTAAATGCCATTAAGAGGGAAAGAATTTAACAACATTACAGGCTTAGCGTTAGTGAATCATTAATTTTACTTCTTAAAATACATTTCATAGTGGTCGTTAAATACATTGAAGAGATTTTAAATGTCTATACAATTTAATGACACGCATGTAGTGTCAACCAACCAACCAGCAATGGGCCAGCGTGGTTGACTACGGCCTAGTCAAAACTAACTAAAAACTAACTTAGGGTAGGCTTCGAGCCTCTCGGTGAGGACGTATAGTGAGCTGGTGATGAATGTAGTGTAGGGCTGTTTACTATATCATTTGGTAAGCGAGATCAATGTAGTTTGCTCTATTTTGCTCGATTAAAAAAAGTAAGTACATCCACTTGTTCTCATCCTATTAAAAAGCGGTCGAATATCAATGCTTCAAAGAGTGTTTGTTCTTTTTGAATGTCAGCGCTTCGAGCTGCGGACTGCGGGCTGAGAGCACGCCGAAACCAATCGATTCGTCGGCCAGCGGCGAGCAGTTTGTTTACACCGAACGGATCATTCCAAAAAGATAAATCGTGAATTTAATCTTCCACCTCCCCCAAACTATATCGAGAACCTCCAACCGATTACAAACTGCGTCATCCGTTACTCGATTTGTTTCAAGTTTAAAATCCGGTGCTTGATTTAAAGAAGCAATGGATGTTGAGGTAATAAATTTTGTCCAAATAGAATCGCTTGTCAAGTGTCAATGCTGGTATGAAAAACACCATCATCACGAGCGGATCCCGGTCGAAAATGGCCGTGGTAATAGTGTTTGTTCGTTGATTTTGTCTGTTTTGAAGCGTAACTCGATTTGCTTTTTGTTCTGTAAGTAACAAAGCCGAGTAAATTTCGTTAGTGCATCCCATCGAGTTGTATCTGAGAGAGGTCTCGGTGACTATGAGGTTTCTGTACAGAAGGATGCTACATCACGCCGTGGATAATCAATTCATGATGTCATTAAAATAAATATTGAGTTACCGTTTCGTTTCGGATCTGAAGCGAACGTGATTTAAGATTTCGAACGCCTAAGACGAATTCATATTCAAACACAAAGGCACTGCAATTTATCATAATACTAGCTTTTGCCCGAGACTCCGTCCGCGAGGAATTAAAAAGAAAAAGTAAGTAGCCTATTTGATCTTCCGGACTATGTTCTACATCCTATGTTCTATGACTATGTTCCAGTCATCCGTCATCCATCCATGTAAAATGTCGCATTTATAACATTACTATGATTTAAGTCCGATTAACTAGATAAATAAAGAGACGGATGGAAGGAATAAGGATGATATGATCAAGAAGAAGTGAGGACTAAGATTAAAAGATAGATGAATTTGGAAGATGAAAACCTGGTGCGTCAAACTTACGTGAGTGGGTAACGGATTGGGGGTTGATGGTAAAAGGTATGGTGCAAACTATACAAATAAACTAACATATTAAGGACCACACGTTGACCGGACGCTATTCATATGTAGTGTCGATTTCAAAAGATAATTATAGTTATTGCAATAACTGCGAAAGCTGATAATGGACGGATGCGCGTAATTTTTCCCTAACCCGTCCGCTTCCGGTTGCAACACGAATGTGCATACTGAGAATAAAAAAATAAAACATAAAACCTCACATTCCCCCTAACTGAATTTACACGATCGGGGGCACTAACGACATAAAATAACAATTACGTTGACACAGATCTTATCTGTGTAATTCGGTGCGCACAAAACTCGGTCGGTAATAGCGGCGGCAGTTTTATTGTGTTATTTACACAAATAAAAACGTTTATTTCTACATTTTCCCAAAATTAAATATGGGCCAATTTTGATTGTGATGCAGTTACGTCGTTAGTGGTACAGGGGGCTCTGGTTGCGGTTGTGTCGACTAGCTGTGTTTGTGCATGTGTTACTTGTGTAATTCGTGTAATTACTCGCGGGAGGAAATCCTTGTTATTTTGTAATCAGTCGCGCACTAATGTGTCGGCCGGCGACGTTCGCTTATCTGTCCCGTAACAATCGTCGTGTTTCATTAAAAAACATTTATTATACGAATGAGGACGTTTTTGACGTCGTTATTCTGAGCAAATTGCATTCATTTGATTGTACGTAATAATCTATCGAGTTATTTAACGTTGTAATTGCGTGAACGGCGACATTTTTTAGAGTTTCACGCAATTATCGTAATTGTATTTGAATTTTGGTATTCACGAAATCTTTTTTGCGGCATTACATTTAACATATGATTTAAGAAAATTAATTACAATCTGAAACTAAAAATGTAACAAAATCATTACTGCAATGAAAAAACTTAAATATTGAAAATGATACCAAAGTATTTAATATTAGTAAATACCAAAGTATTTAATATTAGTAACAGATACCAAAGTATTTAATATTAGTAAAAGTAAATAGTATTTTTATAACCTAACCTAATTAGTCCTGCTTTTGAGGTTATCACTAAAAACATTTATTTTTACAACAAATTACTCTTTGGATTTAAGGTTACATTAGGTCTATCTACAAAAGTGTATACATGTAATTTATGTAGTATAATGTCTCACGAAAGTTTTAATAAGTTAATGTAATAATGTATTTATTTTAAATCGGGTGCTATATAAAAAAAAAAAACTTAAATGTAAAAACCATCATCTTAATCTGAAACTATATAAAATAATAATTCTACACAAATGCATTAATCATTTGCAATCTCATTTAACACAATGTTATCTAAATGATTTGTCGTGAAAGATGTACACTTGTAGGTTGGTGGTGTAATCACCCATTTGCACGGCGTATACTTAATTACGCCAGCAGCGGCAGTGGTCCGCGGCTAGGCTTTTGACGGGGCAGACAAACGCATATATCGTGACTCCGACCAGTAAAGTCGGTTTGTTGATAAAGTCAATTAGCGGTATCGAAGTAGAGACCCGTATCGACTGATTGTGGCCCACCCTCGCGTCTGTCGTCGTATCACGGCCCCGCTATTGGCCCGGTGTGCCGCAGGGGAGTGGCTTTGGCCCGCTATGTTTTTTATTATTCATTTCCCTGTCGTGAGGCGACCGCGGACAGTCTTTATTCTCTATCTGTCGATTGAAGGCGTTTGTGTGTCATAGTTTATTAGGCTGTTGTGCTCGAGGCGTCACTCTGTATCATGTATTAGCTGCGGCGTTTAACAGCTATTTATTGGTGTTAATGTACGATCGTAAAAAAAGTTTGACGCGTAATTTGTGATCTGAGGAATTTGAGCCTGGTAAGTTGGAAAAATATAAAGTTCAGTTAACTATATTTGACATATAAAACGAATTAAGACAATTAGAAAACTTGCATGTTTATTTTTTATTAAAATAAATATTTATAAAATTAATGTCTGAGAATAGCAGGAAGTGTTATTATAATATTAACATAAATAAAGTTTAACTTATAATTTGACATTTCAAATCAGAATTAAATATTAAATTATAATTAGATGTTAATAATTCTTCTACATAATAATAATCTTATTTGAAAACTTTGATTTATTTAAACTGATTATATTAATTTAATAAAATTTAACATATTTTAATAAGTATAATTAATAGTAAATTCCACAGTATAAACATAGTTGTTAACGTAATTATCTATGGTTACATAAGGCTGGGTGCACATAAATCAAATCCGGTAACAAGAACTTGACGCGCGTCATATTTTCTACAGTCAAAAAAAGGCATAACGTCTGATATTTTTAAAGCATTTGCATAATTAGGTGAATTTTATTGCTTTATTGAATTAGGGTCGATGTCAGGCTCAAAATTGAAAACAGCGGGGTCCCTTGTGTTGTTAATTTTGTTTATAGCTTGTATTATGGTTGCTTTTAAATGTTATTTATAAATATCTCTGAACTCTATAAAGGCTGTTCGGATTTGTTTGGGCCCAACAATAGTGCGTTTGTTATTGATCTTGTTTTATGGCGTTTGTATTGATACAGCGTCCTGTGCGTTGTCCATTGATTAACTTTATATCTACTCTTTTAGTTTTATCATTGTTAATTTATCGCTCATTGTATCTCAAAGATTTATACAAGTTTTAATTTATTAACTTCTAGATGGTGTAAATGTCGTTGAGGTTGAAATTAATTGCTCTTTTAATTCCCATTTCCTGGGGTTTTGTGAAGATTTTATGAGATTTAAGTAAATTATGATTGGATTAGTTTATTTACAAAGTTATTGGGTTTATAATTTAAACCTAGTATCAATAAAGAAGGCGTTTAACTTAGTTATATTTTGAACACGTTGCATTGCTTTTTTACCTTGTGTTACATTGTAAAATTAAAAAAATGTATTTATTTGTACAGTTCATCATTTTGGCATTATATTTATAAGGGATTCTAGACATATCTTATTGGGTTTATAATTTTCTAACAGATGCCGTTAGTATAAAAAACTACATTTTAGACACACATTGAAGTTACTGTAGGAAAGCCAAGCCGAAATGAGTGGTTTCATTGTAAAATGTACTATAAAACTGGAAACATTGTGGGATAGGGTCGTTTCGCTCGCTGATAGTTATATATTTTAGCTTCTTTAAACTATTCCTTTGCCGTATGTAATCATTAACAAGTGTCAAGAGGCTGAATAGATAATTGTTTGATAGCCAAACTCTTTGTACAAATGTTGTTTACTTATTACAGAGGTTAATTTAAAAATCTATGAATTTTTTTATCTCACAAAATTACCACCTTAAAATGATTTTATGCCTGAGGGATATTCCCTATCTTGTTCATATAGGTAAATAATTTAAAATCGCTTTAGAACATCAAAAATAATACTCAACGAAAAAGATTTAATTTCGAAATATCTAAATTTGCTGCGTAACAGTAATCAGTTAAGACAATCGCGATTGAAATCTAACCTAATTTTCTTGCTTAATGAACGGAAACAAAAAAATCACCGCTAGATATAAAAAATACGAGATTTGATCGCGCGGTATAACAGACTTTCTTATGACATAGGCCGCTGGTAGCGCCGAGTAGCGTGTAATGAGAAATCAGAATGTTAATTAAGATCTAATTAAGTCTAATACAATCAACAATGCTGCTTGCGTTCTGAAGCCATCCGCAAGTCATCGCAAGGGGTACGTTCCGACCAGATAACTTAGACCTCCGATGAATTCTTTAACTTTCAACATTGAGTATCAATTTTACGGACTTCAAAAAACGGTCTATGGGTCATCGGAATTGGTAATTTTAATCAAATTGAGTTCGGCCAACCCTTTAGTAAAAAATTGTTCAGAATCACTCATTCCACGGACCATTGTTATGTGAGAACTCAATTTAGTGCAACGGCGATGTTACGTGAGATTGATTCCAAGAGTAATGAAGATATCCAGTTAGTTTAGAAGTTTATTTACAAAGCAAACGTCTTACGGAATTCTAATAATTGTTAAAGTTTTATCAAACGTGCAACCAAGTTCTGTAGTTCCTCTAGTGTTGCGGATGTCAATGGGCGTCGTTGACCACCTTGGTGTTCACGCCGCTCGTTTGCCCCCTTTTACTATAAAAAAAAAAGTTCTGGTTCATGATGGATTACAATGAGTACAGAGAACAAAAACAATCAAGGTGTATGAAAGTATTATAGATTTAGTTTTATTTTAAAATAAATTCAGTAATCTGAAATCCATACAGTAGCTGATTTGAAATTATATAAAAAGTATGTTCAATTTACTTAAATTAAGCCATTCAACGAGTTCTAGAAGTAACTTAGTTAATAAAAATTAAACGCTGATACCAGCGTTACATAATCTTGAAAGTTTTCGTATATAAAAATTAATTATGTAAACGGTAGAGAATTTAAAGCGGCTCTAATCCACTGCACTAATTTTTCAAAGACTGATAATAATTTTAAATTCGTTACAAACAAAGGAATTAATTAACAAGTTAATTAAAGAGCTGTGTTTTTGTAATATTTGTAATTGAATAGACATTTTGAGGTTGTTATTTTTTTAGATTCGCTCATGGTTACAGTAGCGTGTTACGTTTGTAAACGTTGCTGAAGGATTTTGAACCTTATGTGTGAAGGTTAAGTAGGGTTGGTTATTATCAGGTAGCAGACAGACATCAGTCAAGGGACGGTGAAGTCGGGCGGTGGTGCACGTTATCTGGAAGCTCGGGTGATATAATCCGAGACACCATTAACACTTAAGCCCATACCTAATGGACAAAAACATCTAATCCCTCAATTCTTAGAGTCGATGATTAACTGAGAATTGCAGTTTGGAATATCGAAAGAAACAAGCAAGATGTGCAATTATTAAATTAAAATTATTCGTTTCACGAATTTAATGTAAACAGTCATTTGTTTCAATGAAATTTAAATAAACAACGAAGGTCTCAATAGAATGTTGTGCAACCTTAATTGCTATGCTCAGCTTCAATCTATACTATTATAATAAAGCGTAAACACACACTTCTTTGTTGCCTAAGATGTCAGCAATCACAACATGTTTTCGAATAACTCTTTTTTAAATAAAAAGCCCTACACTTACATCACGCTTTAGGCTATATATTTTCACGCCATTAAACTTAGGGAGTAAATATTTTGGATAAAAACCCTAATGTGGGAGAGAGACCATAAGTTGCTGCCAACATCAAGGAAGCAAGGTTGTTATCATGTCATGTAATTTTGACATTTGCAATTGATAATTTGACAAATATAAACAATAAAATAAAATTTACCTAATTTAATGCGGATGAAGCCGCACAAGAATAGTAAAAGGGAGTAAATAGCGATATATCTATATCTACATCTATACAATTATTATAAAAAGGAAAGATTAGTAATATTGGATTTTTTATGCATTCAATTCATGTAAAAACTACTGGACTGATTTCAAAAACTCTTTCACTATTACAAAGGTAATTTATCTGTGAGTAACATAGGCTAATTTTTTTATTAATTTTTAATATCACGCAAGTGAAGTCGCGAGCAATAGGAAGTCTATTCTAAATTGCAATTATACTAGTAATACATTATAGTTTACAATTACATGCATAGTTTTCGTTTAGAATGGAATGCAGAGTTTAAAAGTGATTAAACTCACGGAGGTTAGATACAAGAAAAATGCTAAAGCGTAGATTAGCCATGTCTAATGGGGCGAGAGACAAAAAGTAAATCCGGCCAGGCGCCGGCCGTATCGCCATAAATCCTATTATTATTCTAATTCCTCACGGGTCCGTCACCCACTGGGCATCCGGTTTTATCTGGTGATTCTCTTGCTCCTTACTGACCATTCTAACTAATTATTTGATAAAGAATTCTTTGTCTTATTGTTTTCTTTTGTTGTGTCAGCTCAAGAAGTAGAAAAGACAGATCTCACATTTTTAAATACAAATGGAGTTAATCTAATTATAACAATATATTCTTCGAGATAAGAATTTGAATACAAAGCATAAGTAACGTATGAAAATTTCGTGCATATTATTTTAACAAATGTAACTAACAACTTTTCTATAGATCTTCTTACTAATATTATAAATGCTAATATTAAAATCTTCTTACTAATATTAGATGGATGGATCTTTGTTAGAGTTTGTAGCCTAAACCGCTGAACGGATTTCGTTAAAATTTGGTATATATGTTTAGGATAGTCTGGAATAACACACAGGCTACTCACTTTATTTTTTTTTACGCGGACGGAGTCGCGGGCGAAAGCTAAAGTAATAAAATACACGTAACTAATGACGTATAATTTCGCATTCAACGATTCGAGTCAACCAATTTTCTATTTGTAATCGATTCTTTGTAGAATGAAAGTTGATATTTTAGAGACTGTGCAAACGGCAAAAAGTTGACAAGTAATACAGAGGCAAACGAACTCCGGTACCGCTAACCTGATTGGAAAAACTTTGTCAGTCAATACTGCGATTACTCGCTCTGCGGAATCGATCGATGGTTAATATTCTACTATCCACAACGAGACTACTGATGCGTTAAAATCAACTTCTTGATTGCTTTATTTAATTTAATCATTTTTTACTAACCAAATAGGAAATTTAGTACCGTGCTGGCATAAAAAAACTCTCTGTCATTTATTACATTCTTGATTTCACTTTGATTACCTTTATTTGAGTTATAAATTTTTACTTTGATGTTCTTCTATCTAACTTCTAATCTAACTAATGTTATAAATATGAAAGTTTAGATGGATGGATGTTTGTTAGAGTTTGTAGCCTAAACCGCTGAACGGATTTCATGAAAATTTGGTATACATGTAGAGGATAGACTGGATGAACACATAGGCTACTACTTTTGTTTTTTTTAATCCCCCGCGGATGGAGTCGCGGGCGAAAGCTAGTCATACGTATTTTCAAATAACTTTAATAATCCTAAATTGTCAGTGATCATTGTATTTTTTTTCATCCAATTTACTTAATCACTCTAAGATCGTTAGATTAACATATAACTACAATGTGCTAACGACTAATTGTAAAGCATCGTTAAAAAAAACCTTTCTCAATAATTACAACGAAGACAATATCAAATATTTGTAAGAGCATCAATAGTAGAATAACTTTCACAATCTACGATATTCCACGATCACTTAATTTTCCATCAAATTTACGAACATTTACGTTCTTTCTGAATCATTAGTTAATTGGAAAATAGTCGATGCTCGTTTACGGAATGACTTAATTGCGTAAGTTTCTAGTTACACTTTCGTCATGGTTTCTTAAAGGGTTGAACAATTTGGAATCGTTCGTTTCTTGTAAATGTAAAATGCGTAGAAATGGCGATTACTAGCGCGTGGAGCAGATGTACTGCAGGTGGCGAACGTCACGCCCAATGGATACAGACGATCACCGATTTGAAATTTACTCAATTGTAAATTGCTTCAATCGCTCAACTGTTTCTCGTCCATCGTTAACAACTGTACTCAGAACTCAGATGCATCAGAAATGTTAGTTACTAGCAGTTGCTCGCGACTTCGTCCTCTTTAAATAAAAAAAAATATATAAAAACTACAGCTTACGTCACTCACAGATATATTACCTTTGTAATGGTAAAAGAATTTCTGAAATATGCCCAGTAATTTTTGAGTTATGTCAATAAATAAAAAAATGCAAAACTTTCCTGTTTTGTAATATTAGTATAGAAGTATAAGTTTAGATATAGATTTAATATCTACTAAGTATTTTTAAAAACATATTACTAATGTATTATCTTTGACAATAAGCTTGTTTAAATAAACACAAAAGCTTCACGTAGGTACTAAGCTTAAATGTGATTAAAAATAATTCGTACCTTATTAACATTCTGAACTCTAAGCCTCGAGACTTTAAAAGTAATGCTTCTTAAAGTTCACAAAAAGATTACAAATGACAAAAACCATTTGACTCATTCTTGACTCATCAAATTAATCAGATGTAACACCTTAAGAGGGTTATTTTGGTGTTGCATTTCAAGGAAAACAACGCATTACCTGGGGACAAATCACGAACTTACCGAGTTGCAATTATCCCAAAATAAGGATTAGTTCATGACAATTTTTTTAAAGATTTCAAGTGAGGATCGTTAGTCTATGAACTCAGTCAGTCGATGAGTTTGAAGGAGACAAGTTGTTTTAGTAATATAATTTAAAAAAAAAATCAATAAGTTGTAGTTATGATGTGTGGAATTGATTAAGTCAATATTCAGTGTTAAAAGAAAGTGAAAAAGTGATATATTGCTGTTTAAGGATTAGAGTTCTTTTTGTAATTTAGGTAAGAATTAAAACAAATAAAACGTCACTTTGGTAATTTAATCAAATTTATTGAAAATACTAAGTTCTTTGTAATTTATTTTAAATGTTTTTCTTAAAACTTTGCCTTGAATATCCTCTATATTTAGACTGTCTTAATTGTAATTTGTAAAAACATGAACCGTTAAATTAACATTACTGAATGTAATTAAGATTTATTTAATTATGTGAGTAAATTATCTAAATTGATGACCGAAAATATTGTTAGTTAAATTCACGAGGCTCTAAGCCAAATTAAAAGTTTATTTTTATCGTTCAGAAATTTAAAAAATATAAAACTCAGTAGTATAATACTGGCATGCTAGAAAAATAAAATTAGGATGCAAATAAAACAAATAAGTGAATGTGTCGATGCGTATATTTTATTTTTTAAACTGCATTAAACGTGCAAAATGTTTTTCAATCATTATTCACTGATATGCTTATAGTTAATGACATTTATTTTTCAAACTGTACCTAATTGTACCTCGGTTTTTTTTGCTGACAGTATGTTATACTGAACTTTAAACATTTTTGAACTGTTCTTGTCCTGCAACAAAATTAAGTTTTCTGTGAACCGTACAAGATATAGTAATATTCAAGGGAACGTTTAATAATGAATTTAATAGACGAAATTTAACCGTGCGTTTTCACTGTTGCGACACTAATACAAAAAACATTGTTATCCCTTTTATAAACATGGGTAAAGTAGAGATATATAGCTTTTGTTAACGTTCGCAATGGAAACGCACTTTAATCAACCCGTTGTTTTACTTTATGATGTAATGTTAAGTAACAATATAGACTTTAAAAATTACAAATGCTTGAAAAAATACAAATAGGAGAGAAGCTGTTTGAAATTCAAATAAGTGTAACGGGCAGTCGTGCGTAGCTCATGGTGTTGGCAGTTTTTATTATTACAAGGAACATCTTTTGAACAAACATTTTGCGAGTGTTTATATTTTCTTGCAATTTACCCGTTCAAGTGAAAACAAGTTTTGTAATGAAAGTAATATCTAGACGTTAAAAAGCATAGTTTGTTAAAAGGTTAATTTTTAATACTTTTGCAATTGTTGGCTTTATTTTGCCATGATAGATTCACGGCCGAGTTACGATATTAAAAATAACGCATCGTAAGGCCACCATAAAACAGCGAATTACATTAAAATTTTGACATCTGTGAGATTATAAGTGTCGGTTACGAATCGATTTGTTTAAAATTCCTTTCAATGTTCTGATATTGTCTATTTATTATTTATTACAAATAATGCAGTTGTAAAATATAATAGTTTCGAAATTATAATTTAATGCAATTTCTTCGCTCGTTCGAAGTATGAAAGTGGACGTTGCGTATTGCAATTTAGATGGGCAATGCGATACAATGTTTAATTGTGCCTGACGGGACTGCAGGGGCGCTTTGGGTCACAGACGATAATTATATTAATATCGAAAATATCAACAATGGAATGTCAGTTAACATAAAGGTGCATTTAGACAATGTTTCAGAGAGTAAACATACATAAAAAATCTGACAACTTCATTCAGCGCGCCTTTGAGTGAACTATCGGACAACTGTTTAGTCGCCCTTTGCTTCCTATGAGCTTATAAAGAGCTGCGCACAACTTGATATTTAGTTGTGCAACTAAACAGTTGAATTGGCTGCGAAACAATCGACAATCGCAAAACAATTGTGGGTTAGTTTACTCAAAGGTTTGCGCCCGCTGTAAGAACTTGAACATTGATAGTAACATAACTCATTACTCAACACGAAATGTCACAAACCGGATTGCATTTCATTTATACCATTTATCGAACGTACATAGTTTCATCAAGTTTCTTTCTTTGTTGCAGTTCAAGCAAACATTATCCGATTCGCACACAGTATGGGTGTATCAGAGGCAGGTTGTTCTACCAGCTCTGAGCTGTCTATCATCGAGGCAGAGCGACCTGCGTCAGGCAGTGGTGAAGAAGAAGATATACCTCGCAGGAAGCAACGACGATACAGAACTACATTCACTAGTTACCAATTAGATGAGCTGGAGAAAGCTTTTGGAAGGACTCATTACCCTGATGTGTTTTCAAGGTATGTTGAAATACTTACGAGGACATATAGAGCAGTATAACACGAGCAGTATGACAGTTTGTATGTTCAAATAATAGCAGTACTGCACTTCCTACTGGTCTGCATCAATGTTCTGCCCGTACAATATAAGAACAAGATCCTAACGTAGGTTTTCATGGTCGATACTCTAGTGGATATATTCTCGTTTCTATCATTTTTCGCGAAAATATTAAAACAAAATTTTATTTTGTACAGATGTTTATGTGTGTATCTAAGCTCAGGCCTAATAGGAAAGTTTAGAAGGATGGATGGATGGTTGTTAGTGTTTGTCGCCTAAACGGATTTTGATGAAATTTGGTATAGATGTAGTTGATAGTCTGTAAGAACACTTAGGCTACTCTCTGATTTTTTTTCTACGCGGAAGGAGTCGCCGGCGGAGGCTAGTGAATTCATAAAAATAAAAATTATTTTCATTGTTACAGAGAAGAACTTGCATTGAAAATAGGACTGACTGAAGCCAGAATCCAGGTAAGAATTTCTTAATATTAAATTAACCTTTTTCAATATGAAATCTTGACTAAAAGGATATTGTTTTTTGTGTTTACGCAACTCGAATCCAATGTTGAATTCCTTTTGCGTAATATTTTACGTAACGTCCTTTACGATTCCCGTATGCAGCGTAATTACCGACAAAATCTTGCCCACTTCATTCCAATACTCGGAGTATAATAAGCGATAAAATGTAATAGCACAAAAAGCCGAACGGCTCGCGAAATAACGAAGTCGGACGTGAACATCGTACGTGAGCGAATTCGCGCATGTCTGGAAATGGCTTAATCAATGTACATAATTAAATTGTTTATGTCGAAAAAATAATTACGAAAAGCGACATTTTTCTTTTTCAGAACATTTATATAGCTGTCAGGTTTGAAAGGTTTCGTTTGTCTGTTTTATTTTTTAAAGGTTCCATTTAAATTGTAATGTTTTTTCTAACTTTTTGTACTAGTAATGTAATTCTTTTTGACCGATGGTTAATTGGGTAAATATTACGGCATCTAATTTTAAGCATTTTCAAATACTTTTGGTTCTTGTAATGTAAATAACTGATTTTTATTTTAATCTTAAAAGAATTAATACAATGTTGTTGACAACAAATTATTACTAAAAACTGATCATCAGCAACTTGCCCTTATCCTTTACGGAGGGTCGGCACAGTAAGTGCTGCTCTTCCATACATCTCTATCAGCCGTCATATATGAATCCACCCCTTTCTTAAGCATATCTTCTTTCACACAATCCATCCATACTTTCTTCGGTCTTCCTCTTCCTTGTAGTCATTCAATCTTAACACTTTCTGGTTTATGTCCCCTTCGTTTCGTCGCATAACATGTCTATACCACGCTAACCTAGGCTTTAACTTCTTTGTAAGTTGAAAAAGAAATAATAAAACCATCAGAGATTTTTATTCCTATATTAAACAAAATACAACAGTCATATTAAATTGGTACCTTAAACTCAGCGAGCAAATTAACTGCTTATTTCAATGTAAAAGTACACTTTAACTGTACAATTATTCGGAACGTAATTATAAATAAACAGCCCCAATAACGATCAATTACAACGTAATAAAAGCCCACGGTTATGGACGACTATTCAAGCTTTAAAGCACTTGATATTTCTGTCACGTAGCGGCCAGCGCTTGCCGCAATGTCGTCAAGCCATAAAATCGGCAAAGTTAAGGTGCATTTCCATTAAGAAAAGCATTATATTCCATTTAAACAATTTTGTATGCTTAATAAATAAAATTTTATTAAAAATTACATAAAATAACATACTTTGAGGCCATATTTTATTTCGTTTACGATCTTTTTACGACAAAAATAAGCAAATGTTATTTAAACGATTATTTGTGATCATATTTATTAATAAACGCCATTTTCTTTATTATACATATTTTCATAACACTATTGTGATTTTTTAAATAAATCTTTTATAGGGTTTTTATTCATGTTGTAAATAGAATCTGAGAGTCAAGGTGAAAAGTATAAAGTCGAAATGTGGTCTTTAACTTGATTTTGTTTGGTTGGTTTATGTAGAAAATTATATAGTATGAAGTGGTTTCCGTCAGTTGATTTCTTGTAAGCAATATTCCATATACATTTAGTGCAAGATTTCGTGCTACGTTCATATCAAATGCATTCACTTTAAAAACAGAAATGTGTATTTGAGTTACACGAGTATATAATTTTTGTCACTTCGCGTATCAATCGTGTTATAGAATATTAAATAAAGTAATTTTCTTAAAGAATTATATTTTATCATCCTTTTATATCAGAGGGTCAGTGGCTCAGTGGTTTAAGCACTTGACTTGTAATCTACAGGTCTTGGGTTCGAACCCCGCCATGTACAAATGTGATTATCGATTTTTCGAATTTTCATATGTACATAATTTACCCGACGTTACGGTGGAGGAAAACATCGTGATACAACCTGCACATATCGGCGAATAAATTCATATATATGTGTGAAGTCAACCAACCTGTACAGGGCCAGCGTGGTTGACTATGGCCTTATCAGCCTAACTTAGGGTAGGCTCCGAGCCCCTCGGTGGCGACGTATAGTGAGCTGATGATGATGATCCTTTAATGATTCTCAATTTCTTTGTGTCAATTGACACGTTTTTTATTCTCGGTTCTAATTTGTACTGTTTATAAAAATTGCACAATAATATTGTTAGTGTAATTACAAAGTTCAGATTAAAATGTGTATACATTGCTTTACAACTTGACACTTCTAACAATGTAATTAGTTAACAATTTGTATAATTTTATTAGTCGTTAGTCGGTGTTAGAAGACACGATGTCGTAAAATATATTCCCCAGAATTAAGTTGTAACACGGCCATCATTAAAATATTACGACGACATGATTCTTAACATTATACCCAATAGTTGCAATAATTGTAACCAATTTGTTAAAAAAAACTTTTAATACAAAACTCTTGTACAATTATAATGCTGTTTAATGGCCGGTTACATTTAATCATTCGTTAATATTCTTGGTACGATAACTTCAAAAAATGCGTTTCCGTACGTAACCTGAGTTTTACTCTATCGAAACTTAGGTTAACCTAACACTAATGATCCACTAGGTAAGAACAAAATAAATGGAAACTTCAGAAACCCAGCATAATGTTATGTTTTTGGAACTAGGTTTCTAAATTTGTATCATTTTGTCAATAGGTGTGGTTCCAAAACCGTCGCGCGAAATGGCGTAAGCAAGAGAAGGTTGGTCCTCACGCACATCCTTACGGCGGCTACTTGGGCGGCCCGCATGCGCAGCCTCTGCCCACCTCCGCATCTCTACCACAGCCACACACCGCACACCCGTTGGCACACCTCGGCTTCGGTTTGAGGAAACCATTTGACAGCGCACTGGCTTCTTTCAGGTGAGATATGTTTATAGTTAACTGTGGCTATAATTTTTGACCTAAATTAACAAAAGGGATCTCGACTTAATTCACTAGTAACACTTTCCTTTTATTGTTTAGTTTTCATTATTTGGTTAAATATGTGTACCCTAATTTATAGTTGTAATTACCGTGAAAGTTATTTTATTTAACGTTTGTTATTTTTAAAAATATTTTTGTTTATGCTGTGGACGTGTCATCTGTATGTTCTTTTTTTTTTGTTTTTCTTTGTCTACAGTATATTTAATTTGGTTGTGGACTTTGAACAATGAAATTGGTGTACCTTTCCAATAAATAAAATAAATTATAACAAGACGTATGTCTATGTGTTCTAACATTATATTTATTTATCAGGTACGCAAGCAATCCTCTGTTTGGCACCCAGTATCTACCACCGTTATCGCGACCGCCGTTATTCGGTGCCCCGCTATACGCTACCTCGCCCGCTCACTTCCACTCGCTCTTCGCTAATCTAACCGCACCCGAACCGCGACTCTCGCCCGAACACTCTAGACTATCCCCGGAGGCAACCCGCTCTCCCGCACCATCCATTTCTCCGCCAATATCACCCGGGAGTGAAACACTGCCTCCACACGCGGCAGTGGACGACGTGCGAAGTTCTAGTATCGCTGCATTAAGGCTCGCGGCAAGGGAACACGAGATAAGATTGGAACTATTGCGGCAGAGAGCCGATCTGATTTGTTGAACAGCTACCGTAATCTTGTATTGATTTGAATTACGTAAAGGCTAGTGGTCCGATGACTAAGGTAGTATTTCTTGAAACCGATGCACAATATTATTAAATCAATTTATATTTTATAGATATATTTAATTGCATAATCTGAATTATTTAAAAAAGAATCGCTAAGGTGAAAACAAATTGTAAATTTTTCTGAAAGATCTTTGGGCCAGAATGTAACTCTATCATATAAACTAACCTAAAAAAGTAAATTGCTTAAATTGATTGTTAAAAATTCATTTTTTTATGCTTTATTTCGTAAGACATATTGTATAAGAATCATAAATTTACCTAACATTATATAATTATTTGTTGTGGACCGTATTGTACATTTATCACTATGCAGTATTTGTTTTATATTATTTGTTAAGGAAATAGAATAATTAAATATTAGGTTCTGTTAAATATTTATGTTAGTACGTAATTTTTGTATATTCCCATGTAGTAAAATTTAATTAAAACAAATAAACATATTTTTTTTATATCCTATGTTTGTTTTACTTTCACCCTTAAAAAAATAATACATTTTAAAAACAATTACTATAGTAAAAAATAAAAATCCCTGATAAAAAAAACTTCGCACATAAAACATTTACAAACAAACATCACAATCTATACTATATATTATAATAAAGCGTAAACACACACTTCTTTGTTGCCTAAGATGTCAACAATTACAGCATATTTTCGAATAATTCTTTTTTTAATAAAAAGCCCTACACTTACTTCACGCTTTAAGCTATATATTTTCACGCTATTAAATTTAGTTGGTAAATAAATTGGATAAAAACCCTAATGTGGGAAAGAGATCATAAGTTGCTGCCAACTTCAAGGAAGCAAAGTTGCCATGTTTGTCGTAATGTCACGGTATTTTGACATTTGAAATTTCAAATGACACATGTAAACAACAAAATAAAATTTTCATAATTTTTTGCGGATGAAGTCGCACGGGAGCAGCTAGTTGTAAGTATAAATGCAATTATGCAAGCCGTCATACACTTATCCTAATTGGGTAATTAGCAATCGGCAACTCTAAGGTTAGGTGAATCATTAAAGTCTATGCAGATGCAGATGCAATCATGGGTCATTTAGGGTCGCACTAAAGCAGGTGTTTGGGCCTTTGAGGTCGTATAATTGCATCACGTATGTCTGAACCCTTCACAAGGCATCGGAGATCCGAGTTATTACATTGGTAAGGATTAGATGTGGTTTGTGTGAATCAGTTGAATTAATGTAACTCTAACTAATATTATAAATGCGTAAGTTTACATGGATGGATGTTTGTTAGAATTTGTAGCCTAAACAGCTGAACGGATCTCGATGAAATTTGGCATAGATGTAGAGCATAGTCTGGAACACATAGGCTACTTACTTTTGTTTTTACGAGGACAGAGTCGCGGGCGAAAGCCAGATAAAATATATTCTTTAATTGTCTTAGGTAATTATGCTATTGTTTTTCTATGCTGTCGTTTGTAATGTTAACCAAATCTATACCAATGTTATAAAGAGGTAAGATTTGTATTTTTCTCTGTATTGAAATAACTCAAAAGCTACTGGGCCGATTTCAAAAATCATTTTACCATTAAAAAGTTACGTTATCAGTGAGTAGCATAGGCTGTATATTTCATATTTTTTTTAATTTCACGCGGGCGAAGTCTCGAGCAACAGCTAGGAGGTATTAAAATGTTTATCACCTCCTTCTTATTATTTCATTTTACATATGTCACTCGGTCCCATTTTATTTCATTAAATCTATTCACGTAATAATCAAAATTTTATAAGCTTCGTACTCTCGGGTCTTGAGAATTATATTTTAATAAACATCAAAATTTTATTAGTATTTATTTGACAAACAATTACACGCGTCCTTTGTGACAATAATGGCGCTTATCGTAAGGTTTTATGAGCTTGCCGGAGTACACAATTGTTAGGGATGGGCTGACAATTTATCGATATCATAATTTTTAAATGCGTAGAAATTAACCAAAACTTCCATTTGTAGTCGATTTTCCGAGTCTAAATATAAGGATATAAACCTTTAGTCATTTTACGTATAAAAAGTTGCCATATAAGTGTCAGCATTTTCGTCCAAATGTGATGTCTTTAGTGTAGGAAGATCATTACTAAACTGGGATGGAACATCTATCGAACTCGTCAATTCTGGTTTTCTGTACTGATTTATTTATTATTTAAGAAAGTGATTTATCGATAACTTTTCACATCTCTATATCAATATGTTACCTCATTTTAATGCGTGTATCCTGGCGCAGGCGCAGTTCTGAGCGGTGCGTTCTCAACCTAACTCTTTAGGTAGAGCATTTTATTGCTCATTGTAAATTATGAAAATGAATAAAGACGTACCGTACCTTTGGACATTTCCATTTTAATAAACGCCATTTTAGTGGCCCAGGATTATTGTAGGTTTAGCGCTGAATCAATTTGCCATAACATTCTCGGTGTATCATTGTTGAACAGCCGCGGTAAATTCTAAATTATCAACCTCTAGTAAAGACTTGTTCAGTCGTAATATACAGCCAGGGTATAGCTGAAGACGTTTATTTCCTACCCACTTAGGTCATTTGACACTTAATATCAATCTATACTCTATACTAATATAGTAAACACACACTACTTTGTGGCAGAATGTCGATAATCATAGTATATTTTTGAATAATTCTTTCTACAACATAAACCCTACACTTACGACACGATTTAGTGTAAATATTTTCACGCTATTAAACTTAGGCAAATGCATTCGTTGTAATTTGTGGATTTGAATTTTGAAATTTGCAATTGAGAAAAGGAATTTGCGGATGAAGCCGCACGGGAGAAGCTAGTTAGGCATTAAAGTTACACAAAAGGATTCATTATGTCGATTGTTTTCTGTAGGATGTTCGATTACTATCTATGTGGGTAGCGAATTTAATTCTGTCACTGTACGGTAAATGTCCCCTATGAACACACGAGAACGTAAACGAACAAATAATGTGCATGCAATTAAATTACAATTAAATAACAATTACCGGTGACTGTTTTTTACAGAACGGTTTTTCTAAGAACGGAAAATAAACTGCATTATGATTTAAACCCCTCAAATTAAACCTTTTGCGTTAACATTATATTACTGGCGGTAATTTTACTTTGTTCTGCGAAGTTAATCTGACACAATGTAGATTAAAAAGTGACAAGTGGTCATTTTTAAAAGAATGCGAGCTCATTTTGTAAAATATTTTTTAAGGTACATTAAGATACTACTTATGACTCTCGCCGGGGTAGGCAGCAGCCCCCCTCTAGGGTCCAAAATTATAATATAGAAATTAATTAAAAATCCTAATATACGAACATAACTCAAAAGCGTCTAATAAAATACATAAAAATTTGACAACATGTTGATAAGCATATTTTAAATAAAAAAGCATTTGTACTAGCCCTTTCATGTTTCTTGACTCCCCTAAATAATCGGCCTACACCCACTAAATCGTTATCTTGTAACGGCGATGCTATTAAAAAATATCTGGCCACAAACTTATGACTTAAAGTGACACTATACAGTTTTAAAACCAAATCACTGACATTAAATAACAAACCGTCCTTAGAGGAGGCGCACACCTTTGACTAAACTATCGCGCAACTGTCGCCCGATTGTCGTTTGTTTCGCAGCCAACGCAACTATTTAGTTTCACAACTAAAACGAGTTGTGTGCACACAGTTATGCGATAATTTACTCAAAGGTGTACGCACACTCTTAACGTAATAAAACACTAACGCTTTACAAAGATTCTAGAAACATAAATGTCGTTGTCGCCATAAATATTGGAAACTATTATAAAACTCCGTTAATTTTATTATTGACATAAATTCTACAAATGTTATTAAGGCGCGACTTGGATTGTTATTCCATAGATTGCGTAAGATATGCTGGAGATAATTATGTAGGACATATCTAAGTGTCGTGTGTACACTACACTTAGTGACAATGTTAGATTGATATAATAGCTTTATAGAATTGTAGATAATAAATTGGAATTTATTTATCTAACTAAAATTGTAAATGCGAAAGTTTAGATGGATGGATGAAGGGATGAATGTTTGTTAGAGTTTATAGCATAAACGGCTGTACGGATCTGGATGAAATTTAGCATAGATGTAGAGCAGAGTCTTGAAGAACACACAGACTACTTACTTTTTTTTTAAAAGCATACGGACGGAGTCGCGGGTGAAAGCTAGTTAAATATAAATTCATGTTAAACATAAATATGTATATATATTATTAATTCTGCTATATTAGACAAAAAAATATATTTTAAAAAACTTATTAAAGAACTAAAAATAACATTTTTAACACTCGACTCACATTTAACTTAGTAGAATGCAATGCTATAAAGTTATTTAAAAGTTTATAACAGACGAGCTGTTGCCCGCAACTTCGTCCGCGTATTATTAGAAAACATACGAACTATATAAATTACAAATAGCTACGTATCCCTCGGGAACCGGACATTTCTCGGGGATAAAACTTATCCCATGTGTACTCCATACTTTGTTTTATATATGTGCCAAATTTCAATAAGATATGTTGAACCGTTTCAGAATGATCAAGTAAACATTAAAAAACTAAATTAATGAATCCCAAGGGAACCGTAATTATCTCCGGGATAAAATGTGGCCTATGTGTTCTTCCCAACTATGCTCTAAACCTGTGCCAAATTTCATGGAGATTTGTTCAGCCGTTTAGGCTACACACGCTAACAAACATCCATCCATCCATCCATCCATCCATCCATCCATCTAAACTTTCGCACTTATAATATTAGTAAGATTCTAAAAAAGCGGGTATGTTTAAATTTTACAATACAAGTCGGGGTTTATAAAGTAACAATATATTAAAAAGTCGCACGACGCAATGTAATAAAAATCGATTGCATTATTCGATGTTAACCGTTGAATGTCTTATTACAGAGGAGACCTATGGTTTTTTCACACATTGGCCGCATGGCTTTATGGATCGCGCGGCGGGAGCTCGTGGCACTCGTGATGGTAAAAAGTGGCCTATTCCACACATAATAGTAATACAACAATGTATAGTTAACCTTATAAGTGTAATAACATCTTGAACTTTACGCCAGAATGTCGGAATTTAGAAAGGCAATCGAACAAGGATTGCAAGACTATATTTAAAGTCAACCGATTTGCATACAGTTACGGATACATTGACATATGTACTTAAAAGACTAAAACCTTTGAAATATGGCCATTAAAATAAAATGTCTATTTTTCTTTTGGATAATTCATGTTGCACATTTTACTACAACAAAGTCACATGACAGCTGTAATTTTAACATACATAAATGGTTGTTTTTTTAATTGCGTCA